GAGTTAAAGGGAAAGTTGATGGAAGAGGGTCACAATACACCATACACCATACTCTGTACACCCAGAAGGAGACAAACTATATAAGGACTTGAAAAAGGTGTATTGGTGGCCCAGAATGAAGAATGAAGTTGCGGAATTTATGACAAAAAGTGTCTAACTTGTTAGAAGGTGAAGATAGAGCACAAAAGATCACAAGGAACTGTGCAATCATTGGGAATTCCTGGATGGAAATGGGATTGTATTTCAATGGAGTTTGTGACTTGCCTCCCAAAGTCAAAGACTGGAAACGACACCATTTGGGTAGTGGTGGATAGACTTACAAAATCTGCGATGTTTATACCAATGAAGGAGACCTTGAAGATAAAACAACTTGCAAAACCTTACATAAAAAATGTGGTGAGATTACATGGAGTTCCAAAAGATATTGCGCCTGACAGAGATTCTACATTTCTTTCAAGGTTTTGGAATAGTGTACAGGAAAACTTTGGTACAACACTTAAGATGAGTACAGCTTTTCACCCTGCCACAGATGGGCAAAATGAGAGAACCATTCAAACCTTGGAAGACATGTTGAGGGCTTGTGTTATAGATTTACAAGGAGGAAGGGAGGATAGCTTGGACTTAATTGAATTTTCCTATAATAATAGCTACCATGCAAGTATTGGCATGGATCCATTTGAGGCATTATATGGAAGGAAGTGTCGCAGTCCAATATGTTGGAACGTCATAAGTGAAACAATGATTTTAGGGCCTCAAATGATCGAGGATATACTTAAGAAGGTGAGGGAGGTTCAAGCTAAGATTCAAGCGCCGCAAGATCGCCAAAAGAGCTACGCGGATTTGAAGCGTAGAGAGGAGGAATTTGAGGTCAGTGACAAAGTATTGTTAAAGGTGTCACCAATGAAAGGTGTATTGAGATTTGGAAAGAAAGGAAAGCTTATCCCAAAGTATATTGGCCCATATGAGGTACTACAAAGGATAGGCAAAGTAGCTTATAGGTTGGCTTTACCTATGGAGCTAAGTAAAGTGCATGATGTATTTCATGTATCTCAGTTAAGAAGGTATATCCCTGATAAGTCACATGTGCTATAATCTGAAACTATTGAGTTAGATCAAAGCTTAACTTATGAGGAAAGACCTGTCAAGATCCTTGGCATTAAAGTGCGTCGTACACACAATAAAGAAGTTAATAAGATTGTTAAAGTGCTATGGTCTAACCAAGAGTATAAGGAAACAACTTGGGAAGTTGAGGATGAGATGAAAAAGGAATATCCTGAGTTGTTTAAGGTATGGTGAGTTACGGGGACGTAACTTGTGTTCTTTAAGGGGGGTAGAATGCGGTAGAATTTCGCGTTTTTTCCCTTTTTTCAGTTATTTTTGTGCTTTTTGCACATTTTTTACCGTAATTTTGAGTAATTTTGATCTCAAAGAGTTGTTAAAGGCAAGAGTATGCCAAAAATTACAGCAAATATACAAAGTGAGGAAGAAATTTCGAATTTCATTACCCAAGTTTCGGGACGAAACTTCTTTTAAGGGGGGTAGACTGTAATACCCCGTATTTTTATACGAATTTTAATTTAAATAAGTATTTCTTAAAGTATTTAAATAATTCGAAATGAATTATTTATGGTTTTTATTAATTTAAAAAGAATTATTTTAATTAAAAAGTTTATTTTCAATTATTTAATAATTTTGAAAATATTTTATTTTATGATTTTATTGGGGCATACTATTTTATAAAAAGATAATTGTTAAAGTCAATGTTATTTAAGGAAAGTCAAAATACTAGTTTGACTAGGAAATGGATCGTTAAGGGTAGTAAGGGAATTTTAAGTAGGAGGGATATTGAGAGGGGGTATAAATACTCATCATATGCATAAGGTGGAGTGCACCCGAAGGTAAACTCTCTCTCCTCTCTTATTTTCTTTTCCCCATAATTTTTCCCCTTCCCCTTCCCCTTTAATTTAATTTATTTTATTCTATTTTATTTTAATCACCACAACACGCCACCATCGGTCGGTGGCCACCACCACCAGCCTTCGCCGGCAGCAACAACCAGCCTAGGTGGTTGTGTGCGCCGGTGGTCTTCAAAAAAAAAATTTATTTTTCTTTTTATTTTTAATTAAATCTACCCTAATCTAATTATTGTTTTTGGATTTTGTGATGATTTTAGGATGTTTAATAATAAGAATTTTTTTTTAAATTAATTTTCAGATTTAATTGTAAATTAAAAAGCCCCAAATTTAAAACCCTAGGTTTCTGAATTAAGGTATATTGATGGAATTTGATTGTGGTTGATTAAAACTATTGAAATTAATGTTTTAAAACTAAATTACAGAAATTTTATAAGTTTTAATAATGTTGGAATTTTTATATATAAAGCTATAATTATGTTTCTTGAAAGGATTTTTAATTACCCATTAATTTGGGAATAAAAGTAAGGGTTTTAAATAAAATTTCAGATTATTTTAGAGGGTTTATGAGTGATTTAAAGAGAGTATATATTGCTGGAAATTTGTGTGGAAGAGGTATTAATACTTCTTTATAATTTTGGTTTGAAGGAGACTTTCAAGTGAGTTATTTTATTTAGTCGTGGCGATTTTGAGATCATATTCAAGGTACGTTCGCGTAGTTAGTAATTGTGTGAATATGTAGAGGCATGCTAGGCTTTGTTTAATTAATTTCAAGTAGTATCATGATAGGTGATAGTTGGAATTTGTTGATTGAATCAATGTTGGTGAATGATTTGTGATGTATAAATTATTTGTGGTGAATTGGTGATTGGAATTAATTATGTTAGCATGTTGGTTACGAACCACACTTTTATTATGGGCATGTTAGAGAGCATGTTTAATTAAACCAAATGTTTAATTTGGTTTGGAAAATGAAAAGGAAGTTTTATTATGGTTCATATAATTTTTTATTGATGCTTTAAGCATGAGAATTGAGCTATCAAGTGTCTTAGTACACAGGAATAAATTATATTGCGGTGCTTATGTGCACTTAAGGTGTTTCTAACACCGAGGGATAGGGTTTGCGGCTCATTATGTGTTTAAAGTGTCTTTGACATTTAGGTAGATTAAAAAGGGTTTAACTATTAAATTTATGGTCACTTATTATTCAAGAATTAAATTGGTATGTTTAATTGCTTGAATGATTCATTATGATTGATTGTATTATGGTTTGAGAGTCATCACCAAGTATAATAATATGTAAACAACGTAAAGTGAAAGAGATTACACACCAAAACTCTTAGAATGTATATACCTTGAGTATGAACATATGAGAGGAGTTATGTGACTTTATATTTGACAATAACTTCTACTGATAGTACCGGACGCTGTATTTTCCTTATTATTATGCGCAGGACGTCCAGTCACTTCACGTGACATTTGCCTTCCCGGTTAGCTCTCGGTGTAGTTTACCTCAATTTATTTGAGGCAGGGATTTGGTTGGAAACCCTTTCGATGTGTAATCAAAATTAAATGAACATCGGTATTGGTCTAGTTAGGTGTTGAATGTTTTGTATGCTTGTAAACAGGTGCAACACGGTCAGTTATGTGATGGTAGGATGAAAGCATGTTAGTGTGTTTTATTACGCTTATGTACTTAGCATTGCTGATTGTGTGTTTGTATGTTTGTGTGGCCTTGTCTTTACCTTGGCCCTATGAAGACCCATTTCTAATGGCGAGTAGTGGGAACAAGTAGAGAGAAGCTTTTTAGTTGATGAAGCATTTTCATGAAGGGCATGAGTGAAAAGCGAATCATGCTTAGTTCTCATAGAAATATGATGTGTTTTATTTGTTTTGAATATTATTTATTTTATTATGATCATGAGACTAACGCAAAGGTTTTAAATATTGTTTGGTTTTTAAGGGCCTACAATGGTTCTAAGTTGTAGGTTGATTTTGTTTGACTTAGTTTGACCTTTACTTTCGTTTGGTTTGACTTTTTAAGTTGACTTGTTTTAAGTGGTTTTAAAAGTAGTCTTCCGCTGTGTGTGAGTCTTTGATATTTGCCTTAGCCGTTTTCACGGTGGCGGTAATGTCTTAGATTATCCTTTTTTCGTATTTTAAAAAGGGCAAGATGGGTATTTTAAAGGAAAGGAATGTTTAGGGTGTTACAATTTTGACCGGCTCGTTTTTACCCGCTACTAGATTCTTAACCAAACTTGCTAAGAGCCTATCTTGATTTTTACTCGACCCTTTTCAACCCGTTATTTGTAAACACAACTTATTTAAGACTCGACTTATTTATGATCCGACTTGTTCCTACTGTTATCTGATTGATCTGATCCGGTAATGATTCGAACCAATCAATTTTAACCCGATTTTATTTGAACCAAACCCCTCTTTAAACTGGCTAAACCTGCTTTAAAACCGACCCAGTTCAACCTAAACCAATTACAACCCACCCCGATTTGAACTCGACTTGAATAGAAACCACAATTAAAAAAAAAAAAAAAAAGAAAGCAAACCGACTCGGTAATTTTCAAAACTGACCCGAACAGAAGGACCAATCATTTAAACCCGTTTAAACCCAAAATCGATAAACCCAACCCAATATGGAATTGTTAACCCAAATTGACAGCCTAAAAATCAAACAAAACTAGAGAAAGTAAATAATAAAATCATAAAATTAAAACAAAAAACCGTCGGTGATAATTCGCAAGTCACATGATAAAAGAGATAATAAAACAACAGAAATAGAGGTGCAAACAGTTAAAACAGTAGTTACTGTTGAACTAACATGACATGAAACATTGACAAAAGTGGAAAAAATCCAAACAAAAAACAAAGTTGCAAACTTTTACGAAAGAAATGCAACTAACACGCCGGATTTACCGTTACAAACTTTTTATTCATCAATCACATCTCCCATATATCACGCCTAGACCACCGCTAGTTGCTTCCCCACTTGAGCATACAACACTATCCCCCACAAAATCATCCTCCTTTTACTTTCAACTAACGCTTTCTTACATCTATATAAACTCTTTTTACACCCCTTTATTTTCTTCATGTCTTAAATTTGCATTGCTCTAATCTTCTTAACTTATTTATTTGTTTCAAGAGAGAGTTTGGATATGGCTGGACGTATTAGTCACATTTACAGCATTGTGCTGGTTGTTTTACTAGTGTTGGTTGCGTTTTCTAGCGTCATTGAGGTAATATATCGTGTAGTTTCAATACGATGATACTATATATGCTTAATGATAATTTTATTTTTTAAAGGTAAGGTAAACAAAAAGTCAGGATAGTTTTCCCTCAAAACTATATGTATGTAATGCCTCTATTTTCGTGTTGTAAGCATGTTTATTGGTTGTGTAGCTGATGTTGAGTTTTATTTTTTGTAAACAGGGAAACAACAGGCTTCATCCAGGAGGTATATGATGACTTTTTTTTTTTTTTTTTTTTTGTCAACTTCTCTGTTTTCTTTATCACTATATATACTAGTATATATATTGTAGATACTTAATAATCCACTTCAAATAACAACTTAAGAAAAAGGCTAACTTGCATTTAGTGGTACTACAGTAACTAGACTATAATATAAAATGAAAGTCAAATTAATGTACACAGGTTACTTATAAGGCCACATTTTTAAAGCTAAGCTGAATTCAAATAGAAAAATGAACCAAGGAGCTGAACTGTGAACTAAATATTACTGAAAATGAAGTATCCAGTAAATGTTAGACCAACGAAATAATAATTACTCAGCATTAATATTGATGTTCTGTTTAACTCCGAAACTAACTTGAACTAATATGATCTAGATTGCCAACCAAGATGCAACTATAGATGCTCAGCAACATCACACAGGAAGCCATGCATGTTCTTCTGCCTCAAGTGCTGCTCAAAATGTCTGTGTGTACCGAAAGGTACTTACGGCAACAAGCAATCGTGCCCGTGTTACAACAACTGGAAGACCCAACAAGGAGGCCCCAAGTGCCCTTAATCTCCATCTACTTCCCAAAACTATAATTAGGCATTAGTTATACTTAAATAATTATTGTTTAGTATGTGGTCGTACTATTTTTTATGTTATGTACTACTATGTATTACCTCATTAACTCGTGCCCTGGGTTAATTTGTTGAGTATTTGGGTTGATTTGATGATGAAAGAACATTATTTTAAGCATATTTATATGAATGATTATCATTTTACCATTGATCATGTGTTCGATTTGTGCATCTAACACGTACAAGCTAGCTCATCTATAGTGCTTGTATGTATCAAGGTTTAATTAGCAATCTCACATACATAATCTTCTTGCCGTGTTAGAAACTAATCCGATTCCTTAGACAGTACTTAAAATTTGATAGTTGTTGGTGCTGTAAAATATATGATTACAATCAACTAAATTATCCAACAATGATGGGAGAGCACAACTCTTATGAACATTTAGCCATCTTATTTATTTTAATTTGCTTCTTAATTACTCTGTAATTGACATAGCGTTACCAATTTCAAGGTGTTATATCAATCTAGAGTGTAAGAATTCTTATATATGAAACTAGATGCAATGTTACCATATATCTTTTAACACATTTATCTTTTTGAGGGTCTGTTCATGGTGCTCTACTGGCTTCAATTTGTTCGCCGGATAAACTTTCAATTTTATTTATTACCATGTTTTTTGAGTAATTAGTATAGCTACATGATCTTCCGAACATAATAGTTCCCTTTTAGGAACGATATGTAGTTGAGAATTAATCCTTGACTTGTACTTTGAGCTTATAGATCTGCAAAAAGAATAAAACTGTAGTACTAGTGTACTGCAGCCAAATTAGAAACTGCGCGTTTTTGTTAATGCAATTTCATGTAAGAGAGAACGTTATAGAACATACCTTAGCTGTTTATGGTTCCTGTCAACAAAACTTTTGATCTATTTCTCCAAGAATCTAAGACCACCTAGTTTGTTCTTGTCTTATCTTTTCTTTTTCTATCAAAACTTTCATAGAAAAAAGATGAAAATTGTAATGTTTGTAGCCCTCAAACTCCTTGGTGAAATCAAAATTTATCTTGATCTAGTAAGGTATTTTATTATGAAAATCTCAGTGCAACTCGAATATAAGATATCATCAAATATCCAAATCCAATTAATCGCGTAGGTATTGATCTTATGATCACAAATATCCAAAGAGTTCAAGTAATCATAATAGCCTTTAAATTTTAACGTAATCCTTAAGCTCTAAGATATGGACCAAAGTTTTGGATGTAAAGTAGTCAGACACGAAATTATTACAGAAGTGTACCATCATCCTGTGTTGGTCATGCTATCAGAATGCACACTAGTGGTTTGTTATTGCTAGATATCAGAAATATTACGCTAAGGTTTCCCTTACGCTAACTTTGATCCTAGACTCCTGAGGTTTTTCTTATGCTAACTTTTGTGTTGTTGCTCCTGCATCAAGATATCAGAAATATTTTCAGTCACATGTTTTTTTTGGTAGTCTTTAATCTAGTTCACTTTGATGTTAGTTACTTGAGCAGTTGATCTTCTGGATAACTATTAGGCTGGAAATTCTTGTAAAACTATATGGTTAAGAAACCTGTGCTTAGGATTCCTGTTTTGAATTCACTGATTTGGAAGTGAATCTTGCTTGTTTAACATTTCAACCAGCCTTGCTCAGCAACATCTTTTTGAGTAGCTTTTATAAGACTATAACATTGACTACTGAAAGCCAAAATAAGAATTTGGCCAAGTAGTTTATTTGGTAACTTTAAGTTAAGGTAGTGTTTTAGAGTTGTTTAAGGAAAATAGCTTTTAAAGGTAGAAATTAGTTCACTTTCCTGTTGCTACGAATAGATTAAAAACTATTTTGAGAGTTAACCTCAAGATGCTCGACCAACTAAAAGTTTACTACAACTATGATTGCTTGGCTTGCCAAACATATAACAATGTTGAAGGCAAAAAGGAGCATCTTAATGACATAATCGAACCACAAAAGGAAAATTAAAGTGTCGAAAGGACTCAGGATGGAGGCAGCATTGACACAAGAGCACCTACTTTACATGCAAATCTCTGCATCTCTTAACTCCCGAAGATGCTGCAAGATTTCTTGAAGTAGACTAAGTCCTTCATCTCCTTTATTCACAGAGCCGATACAGTGCCTAAGAAACTCCGTATCTGCCTCCAGTGCTTGTAGCCTTCCATATACATGTTCCATTTCTTTCTCAATTGCTAGCCTTTTGCTTTCGGTTTCAGCTCCAACTTTATTAGTCAAAGCCATGTCTTCCATTTCATCATCTTCTGATCCTACAAGATCAAGCAGCTTTCGAGCAACAGAAGCCATTGTTTTTGGATGATTTTCACTCTTTATTATGCTGGTAGAAAAACAAGAAGAGACCAAGTTAACTTCTTGGCTGCAGAACTCTGGATTTGGGTCTAAATCATTTTTATCTTGCCCTTCTAATAAAAGATTTGTTTGTTTTTCGTCCTCAAACATCTCTTCATCCTGTTTTTCACTGCTGCGAAGCTTCTCTTCCAACTCCTTGAGCCGTCTTATGATGGACAGTCTCTCCTCCTCTAGCTCATTCAGTGAATTTTCAATTGCACCCCACTCCTTAGAGCAGTCAACAAGAGAAATTTCTTTGGAGAAAATAGCATCTTCAGCTTTGTTATAGTGGCGATTTAGATCAATAGATAGCACATCACTATCATTGTCAATGCTGCAGGAAGAAGAGAAATTCCCACTGCATTTCTGAATCAACAGCATCGCCTTCTCTTTAGCATCGTAATCTGAAAACCTCTCTCGATACACATCTAGTTCTTTCTCGAGCTCTTGCTTCTCTATTTCTCGCTTGGCCACTACCTCATTCAACAGCTGCAGCGCATCTTGGTCATACTCAGCTTGCTCCTCCATCACCCTTTGGTATTGTAGTGCCTCCATTTGCATTGCAGCCTTCTCTTCTTGAAGCCTTGTTATCATAGCCATTGTCTGATTTGCAGCAATTGCAGCAGCATTTCGCTCTGCCTCTAGTTCAGCATACAGCTTATTTCTAGCTTTTTGTTCAGCTTCAAGTTCTGATTTGAGCTGTTTGATTGTACTGAAGATGTCCTGATCACTCTTCTTCATCTCATCCAGAAGACTTTTATGAAGGGACTCTTCCACTTTGGACTTGTTTTCGTCAGCTGAAACCAAAAGATGGTCAGTATGTTCAATACATATCATTTTATTTTCTTTTCTAGAGTTTCCTATCTTCTTTCACAATTCCACCCAACTTCCCAAAAAAATTGTCAATTTTAATTATCAATCAGAAGCTTTGGCTTCTTAATAACTTGGTTTTTCACTATTTTCAAGGACCAAGTAAATGCAAATCAGCAAGTATTTGATAAATCTCATTCTATTTCTAGAGAAGATAACGATTATCTGCAAATATAACGACTACTATCACACCCAGATTGTAGCCTATGTTTCGGAGTAAAGTCTTACAAGAAGAAAAATTGGAGATATTTTAATCAGGTCATCTAAGCTCTCAAGTAGGCCAAGCAAAACCAGCTAGTTTGAGCCCGAGGCAGACTACTTTCATTCAGAAAGTTTCTGATATTAGTTGAACTAATCGCGCAACTCAGCACAACTCATACACATGCAGAGTATTATAACTCAGCAAGCTTCTGATCTAAAGCTCTTAAATTTAAAAAAAAAAAAAAAAAAAAAAAAATTGTTTTAAAGAAAATGCAGAGTATTTTTCTATTTTGATAGACTCAGATGCTTTAGTATGAATTACATGATAATATACTAACAAAGGGTAAGTAGCTACCTGCATGACCATCCACTTCTTCATCTTCATTACTGTCATCTTCTGCGGCTTCTCTGAGATAAAAGCTTCCAACATCTGAAAGGATTTGAGGTTCGCATTCTGAGCAACTATGGTTACCATCATCATTAGCTTTGGACCAAATCTCCTCACTTTTCTCCTCTTCTATTTCTTCGATCACTAAACTTTCTCTGAAAGGCATATACCGAGAATGTTGAAGTTTTTTGTTTGAGATTTTTGCACAACAGGAACAGGTTGACATTTTCTCATTAGTTACCATCTGATCAGAAAGAACATCCTTTGTCTTAGCAGAAGAACATTCCGCGCACATTTCCTGTGATTCAGTGAATCTCTGATGTTTCGAGCAGTAACTCAGATTTGATATCTCAGTTGCATGAATCTCACAAACCAGATCTTTGTAAGTATCTGTAGTTTTCACAGGCTCTAGTAAGTGATCAACTCTAGAGCACAAAATGCAGGGTTGTTTAAGGCCAAAGTAAATGGCAAATTTTCTGATCATGTATGATAAAAAGGAGTTTGTAAGAAGGAAAATAATTAAAACCCATTCAAGGAATGAATGCACTAGAACAGAAACGATTCTACGACTGTTTCTGGATAGCGCGACAGCTAACTTGTTTGAAGCCATGAATATTGCTACACTCCCTCTTCTACTCTAAAATTGGTGTATATGGTTGTACTGACTGAAAATCAAGATTGAAGTTAAAGCAGTCCCATAATGATGATCTGTAAATTTCACATTTTCAACTTTTTGGGTTAATGAATATCTTGGATAATTAGGAAATGTAAAATATGTTAAAAATTTAGTAGTTTGGCTTCCCCTATTATTGAATTATTCATCCACTATCTATACAAGAGACAGCTTAGTCAATCTCGACTATTAGGAAACAATTCTAACACCTTACAACTTCCCATAAGATAATATTCTAATATCAATAATTAACATAATTCTGTCTTAGAGTATTACTAAGATATATTATTTTCTTAAAAAAATATTAAGTACCGTAAGTTGTATAAAGAAAATATATCATAATATCACAATAGCATATATTTATTTATTATATATCTAATAAAAGTCGTGTTTAATTCAACTTATTTCAACAAAAATAAGGGTAGACGAGTTTATAAGAGTTAATTGATTTTTTTCTACTTGATAAACACGAAATATAAATCAAGGGTAAGTTATAATGAGGTCTAATAAATTCGGGATGTTTATGTAAGGAAAATCAAGTAAATAAAAAGCATCCTAACAATTTTGCACAGAAACATACTTTGGATTGTTGACTAGAAAAGAAACTAAGAAAGGATATATCAATTAATTTTAAGGAAAAAAAAATGAGTACCAAAAGAGGGTACATAATAATGATGATACCTTATTAATAAGATTAAGCTTTTACACAAAGCTGTAAATAATGGCCCAGCCTCATGGGATTGCCAGGAAAAGTAAGAATAGAAAAGTGGAAAAAGGGAAACTAAAGTGAGACACATTGGGAGCTCTCGGCGGTAATGATGGACTAAGATGCTATCAGTTAAGAGAATTTTCAATAGTCCTCCACTAATTTCATGATGGTCCCATTCTCTAATCTTGCGCATGTTTAGTTAAGTAATCTAGGTTAAATGTAGTAGTGATATTGCTACCCACCTCAAATCCCAGTTATGCGAGTAAAAACCTGTAAATATAGAACTAGGGCACTTAAAAATAATGAAGGTAGTAGTATATGTCAAAGTATTTTCACCAAGGTAGTTTTACAACAGCGTCTTGCAATGTCATTGGCTCTTTGGACTTGTCCATGTTAAACTTTTCTTAAATATATGGGTCTGACCCGCAACCATCCATAAGAGGAGGAGTCCAATTCACAAGTCCAAGGAGATTCCATCCCAAAACTATAAGGCAATAAACATGTAGGACATTACATAATTGTACATTTGTACTGGGAAGGTTACACTTCAACAACTTTCATTATAGTTCATCACTGAAAGTGAAGGCAAATAGAGCTGATCATCTTCACTTTTCAGAGCTTTAAGATAAAAAGATGAAATAAGTCTATTGTAGTAAAACAGAAATCAGGAAATAAATCTCTAAGATAGAAAGATGAAATAATTCTATTGTAGTAAAACAGATTCTATTTAATATGAAGTTTTCTATTACGAATAGCAAATACATTGGATTCGTGACACTTGACAATGTAGTAAAGAAAACAGTTTTGAATTAGGAATTAGTTAACTCTGTGGTTCAAGGGTTCAACTTACAGACTACTAATTGAGTTTTCTATCATCATAATTATGCTACATTCTTTACAGTTTAATGAAATAATAACGTATACATTTATATCAGCTTGCAGTGCCATCATCCTCTTCAGCACCATTCTGATTTAGTGTAAACCTCCAGCTATCGCCCTCTTCAATATCCCATTGTTGTTTCAGCTCGTAGATAGCTCTCGACGCAGCTGCAGCAACAACTGGGTCACTATCCTCTGCCAATCTCTGCACGGTCAATATAATAGTTACTGTAAGAACTGTAGGTAAATGGTAGCATTACTACCAACTCAGTGATACCAAAAACAAACCTGCAATGCTCCCATGCCTGCATTTCCAAGTGTCCACATTGACGGAGCTGCTGCTAAAGCATTTGCCAGTGCTTGTCTACATCAGAAAATCAAGATTTCCAAATTATGCGATGAAAATCGACAAATCAAATATGCAGTAAGAAAAAATCACATAATCTCATGTTGAAACATCAAATATTAACATTTCAGTATATAAAACTGAGTCTTTTTTAGTATTACTATTTATTTATGTTGGTAAATATATTCTGCAGCTCTGAGTTTAAAGTCACCAAGTTTCTATCAAACTTAAGAGCTACATGCAATTTCTATGAATGGAAAAAGAACCCATCTAAAATACTCTGTTGTACATAGGAAACATTATAATACAACTATTAATTTAAAACCAAAGCTGGAAACTAAAAGGTTAGATCTCCTAGATAGTTGTTTCCCTATTAACATTTCAATTTTTGTGTAATAGCGATCAAACATACAAAGTATAAGCACATTTAAAAGATAGGATACCTAGTATTAACATCGGGAGAGCTAGAACATTCAGCCAAGAGTGATACACTTGATTTACCGTCCATAGCATCAAGGTCTATGAGCGTCGTAATTAACAGCTCAAGCTGGATCCAAGAATGAAAAAGCATATAAATATACAGACAAAAAGATTTCATCAGTAGTTTTGTCAGATTCAAATGTGTGCATCCATTCAAACCTCTTCAGGATCTGTGTAGTCAATTCCATCTGCTTCAGAAAGTGCAAATGCCATGCTCCAGTAAGCTTCCTGCAAACCGCAACTTCCAAAGGATTAGAACTCTATGTTTAAACCTACTCTGTACATCAATAGCTACACAATGAGAAAACAAGGAACCTGAATAGCACTGATGCGATCATCGGACACTTCACCGGGGAAGAAATCAAGAGCCTTTCCATTCTTTTCAAGCATTATATTTTGAGATAAGGGCCCATATTTCTTGCGCAGAGGGCTAAAGACAAAAAGACAGATTACAATTCCACATCCAATATGATACAAAGATCAATTACACTCCACAAAGAACTTACAATTTGTACATCCTGTTGACCATAATATCATGGATGTTCTTGACAAACTGCAAAGACCAAAAGTCAAGGCTTATAGTCACTCAATTTACAAAACAAAATTATAAACAATCAAGATTGAATAACTACTGCAACAAGAATCATCACTAAACATTTTATTTTTTTGGTTTATAATACTAGACACAGTAACTGGTTTGTACCTCTAGGGCCATAAGGGTATCCTCCATTGCACGTCTCTTCGCACGTAGGTCAGCTCGTCGTAAGTCGGCCTGTAATAAGAAGTTAACATCATCTAACTAATGCTCATGTTTTTGTAAAGTCAGACTAGTGTCTAGCCAGCAACACTCTAGGAAGCTCATCGAAACAATTTGAGCAATACACAACCTTCCTATTAACTTTAATTTAGGTTTTGAATTTAAACTGCATAGTGCATACTATATTCCAAGAAAAAAATTACATGAATAAGGAGATGACCATAAAACATCAACAACAAAAAATTTAATCAGAAATTTTGTCATGCACTATCACTATGTTCTCTTTTCCTGAAATAAGGTGATCTAGTCTGGTTTAAACTTGTTGGTATGACCTAAGTCATTCTGCTCCAGTGCAGTTTAACATTTCTGATATATTTGAATAAGAAAACGTAGAGAGTTTATTCAAATCCCTTCCTAGTAGACACGTCCTTTATACTTTGTCCAAGCAAGTAGAGAAGGTTGTACTAATGATGATAGTTTAAGAACTTATCTACAGAATCTATGTACAATACAGCATACTGCAACAACCCGGATCAGTCATTTTCATGCAGGATTGGATTATGTTAACTATAGAAGGGACACCAATCCCAAATCATGCCTCACAAAATGCTATTAATATCTATTATTACAAGCACCCCCACCCCCCAACAAAAAAATTCCTCCCTAAACAAATACGGACAGGATAAAAGGGTTAGTAATCCATAATGTCCGGATCAATTTTGAATTCTGGAAGTTTCAAAAACACAGTTGCATGAATATCTTGATTTGTTAACAAACCATTTCAACATCTTTTAAAAGAGACATACTATCTTGATGTCATAGCACATAGAGGACAAAACTAATTATATGCATAAAATCCATATTATCAAAGTTAATTGTCAAAAGCACAATAGAGAAATACAATTCTAAGATTTATGAACTGATGGTTTAGAAGGCTTGCATAAGCTCAGACACAACAAGACTACATTGAGTTTGAAATGAGAACCCTTACTAAGATAACAAAATCAAGCAAGAAATGACTCCCTTTGTCCTTAACTTAGTAAGGATATTAAAGATACTCATGCTATTAGGATAATCCTTTAGGAAATTCCAAATTTGTTCATAATCAAGTGTTGTATAAATGTATAATACAGGGTTGATATGGAAATTACTCATATTTAGGGTTAAATTAGCGCATTGGCAAATGTGTCAAGTTTGACTATGTCGGCTACTATGAAACGAATATAATATTAGTTAAGTTGTGGTTATTCCCTTACTGTTGAGGAAGGGTTTTCCACGTAAAAATAGCTAGTTGTATTTTTGTAATTCATACCATATATGATAATTGTGCCAAAAGTTTGAGGTGTCCCATAAAAATAAGTCGTACATTAATCTTCCAAAATGAATTTAGTTATAGCCATTGACCATTCTATCAACATATTCAATTTGATTATTATTATTAAGTATTCTTAAATTAAATTTATTATTTAAAAAGAAAAAAAATTCTAAAATCTCTTTACCCATGATCTCTTTCTTACGCTTTTTTATGAGCCTGTTATTCCAACCTTCTTCTTTCTCAACCCTTCCCTACGTGTCATATCGCCATATCAGCATCAATAAATTAATCCATTTAGATTTTGGTCTCTCTCCTCTTCCTTGGCCCTTCAAGCACCAATAAGATCGAATCAACCACTGGTCTCCAATTTCTCCACACCCCATTTAAGGTCTTAGGCGCCACCCTTCATGGTTATCTTTCATAATTCTCCATGTCAGTCATGGGACAACTGATTCTCCCTCCATAAACAACATCCACTTTTCAAATTTTTTTTAACATTCCAAAACTATCTATGAAGATATGTATGAGAACGAATAAGGCTGCAAAACGAGCAGAAATGCAGAATATTGCAATCCAACACATCGATAGCTGAATTTAGTTTGATAAACATGGAAATAATACTTGTAGGTTTGTACCATCCCCTTCCTTCCCCACCCGCCCCCAGGGCCCAAGAACAAAGTTTGATTTGGTCTAATTCTGATCGATATTGGGAATTAAGGTTTGTTTGCTGTTCTGCTTGTACAATAAACTAGGGAAAAAAATTATTTAAATGCTCTACAGGATGGACAAGAAGAGAAAAAGGAGAGACCTCATTTAGGCAGAACCTGCTAGCAGCAAAAGAGTCTGGATTGCTTAAATTTCTTTTTCACAAACCTCATTAAATAAATTAAATCAATTGTCATTGAATAATTAATACTTTCAACAATGATATTTTTCAGAAGATTTAATGTTCAACTTGGGATTAATTTGGAATTAGTAAAGTAGTTAATAGGCCTAAATCTTGGGTTTAGTTATGGTGAATCGCCAAAACTTACACTTTCTCCTTCCTATAAGGATATATTATTACTTATCAAGCTCCATATAACCTTTTTGAGTAGCTTCAGCTTCACTCATCATAGAATACATAGTCTTGTTAAAAAAAAAAAGGGAAAAGAAAGGGCATTGGAATATCACAAGGCACTAGAGGCTATCTTTATGACTCAAATAAATAGTAGCAGACTGGCATCACAACAATAATCCTCTAGGAAGAAACCCAAAAAAAAAGGTCCTGCCTCTCGAGCAGCAAACAAAAAGACAGGGATCATAACAATTATCCTTTACAAAAACCCAAAAATACAACGTAAACATCATATTTTTTGGAGGACTCCAACCACCAAGATCATAACATGTAACATGCGAAATACCGAAGAAATGACATAAAAAGCTACAATTAAAGCAATGCAGACCTCAATAGCAACTAGAAATTTTTTTGCAAGACATAATATGAATCATCTCATGAGTTTTTTATATTTAGGAAAATTAAACTAAACAAAGACCGACAACCAAAATTGTAATACGCACAATTGATAAAAATAAAAAATAAAATGAAATAAATCAGACAAGTTTTACAGGAAGTTGAACATTTGTGACAATACAGAAAGACAATGACACACATAAACTCTAAAGCATTATAAGGCACACCTCTAATGCACCAGCACTCCAATGTTGATCTGCTGCAGTCTTCAGTCTTGATTTTGCTTTGTCTTTAACAATCTGATGTGGTTAAGAATAAGTTTTTAGCCAAATTTCCAGAATTTACAATGATAAATTAAAATAAAAACAAATCAAAGTGCCTACTGTAGCAATGTGATGAAGGCGTTCAGCCTTTCTCTTGACGTTATGGTCAATTTTTTCAGTATCCTCCCTTGCCCGAGCTATAAATCACAAAGGACAAGGCAAAGAAACATTTAGAATTAATAGGACAACAAAATGTAGAAAGCAGTAATGCTTTGTGAAAATAGAATCCAGTTTTGTAAATAATTTGATGCATCACAATTATAGAGGGTAGGTCTTCCAATATTGAATTATGAGAATTTTAAAAAGACTATCGAAGTTGTCTGGGATAATTTATCAACACCATCAACTTTGGTTTTGAAGTCCTCTGACACTCAAAATGGAACTTAAAACTGATAGTTTAGTAAGAATGGGAAATTTAATAAATTTTGTTTGTTGGCAATTGTGTGAATCAAGTCCTGCACCTCTCATTTTCTAGTAAGTTGTCAGAAATCCACACACAAACCAAGCCATCTAACCAAAAAATCTTCTCTGTATTTCAAGAAATTAAACATAGTATGCACATTGGACCTTTATCTTATCCTCACTATATAAGATCATTATATGAGGCCGTACAGAAAATAAACTATATTTACGAAAATAGGAAATTAAAACAAAATGCCAATGAACTCACCATCTAGTTTAAGAAATTCCAAACCTAGGATAGCTACATCCTGACGTGCACGAGCATCAAGGCTGCGTAAACCACTGCAAAAGAAATCAGAAAGGAAAATCATGCACAAACTTTTAAGGAGACTGATCAGAGCACTAATAATTGGCTACACACTAAACTAAAGGATCAAGCATTGTTGAAAAGTTCATATATCACAAAGAAAGTACAATAGCACTATAACCATCACCATCATTAACAGCAAAAAAGCCATTCGTGTTCGGTGCATGGGTTTAAAGCCCTGTTCACTTCACCTTAAATTAATAATATTCAGTTCAGTAAAAATAATTTCAAATGAGTAAAAATAAGTTCAGTTGAGTAAAAATAATTTCAAATCAGTAAATATAGTTTCAGTTCAGTAAAATAAGTTTAGTTTGGTAAAAATAATTTCACTTCAGTAAAAATCAGTAACTTTAGAAAAAATATAATAGAGAATCAACAAAAATAATTTCAGTTCAACAAAGATAAGTACAGCACAGTAAAATTAATTTCACTTCAGTAAATATAATTTAACTTCAACAAAATCAATTTCACTTCAGTAAAAATAATTTCAGTTCAGCAAAAATAAGGTGAAGTGAAAAAGACTTTATTGTGCAAATCCACTTCCATATTTTGGGCAATTGAAGACACAAGATATTTTCAACAATACAGTTCACTTTTTAAACACTAATTGATTGGATAAACATTATTTTCAAATCACAATTATATTACTTTCAACAACACAGCACGGCATTAACTGAATATTTATGCCCATTCTCATCCCACTGCACAAATTACAAAAATTTATGATGAAAACCTAATTCACTGATGACCCTTTCATTCATTGATGTAGATGAATCTGGCTTCTGACATAAGTACATAACCTATCCTACAAAATCATCATCTATATCATGATAAACAAAAAATCAAATACGCCAAGTTTATAAGATTTATATTTGGGAAATATCAGAAAATGGACTGTTATATTTACACATTCAGTCTGAACTCTGAAATCAGTGCTTATTTGGTTCAATGTATGAATATTAACTTGTGGTGGAAAATCTTTCAGCTTCTAGAAAGTGTGAAACAACATTTTAGAAACATCTGACCCTTTATGAATAGGCATCTACTGACGTAACACTTTAGCTCAAGAGCTTTCCTCCAATGCCTTAGGCCCTTCGTTTCCATTCTTGTTCATGCCATAGAACAATTTCTCTGACTATGACATTCTTACATTCAAAGGCACCTTAATTTCTTCATTTCCTTGTTATTTAGGGAGGTAGAAGTGGCATCAACTTAAAGATGCAACAAATCCGGCAACTTCGGGAAATTAAACAGTTAAGACTTGTGCGGGTAAAGGAATAGAAGGTGAAGTAAACATGAATATGAAAAAACTAAAACAAGTAATCAAACTACAAGCATTACCGAGAAAGTATGACCATATCTCTACGTGCTCTTTCATTAACAAACTTAGCATCGTTGTGAGCATATTTATAGGCTTCTGCTAGTCCTTGAGTAGTTGAAGCCAACTCTTGACCTTCAGCTGAATTCTGAATTTCCTTTTCTTCAATCCCTTCTCTACAATACAAACCAAAGAAGTATGAGTACAAGATCAGAGCTTAAAGATATTAATGGATAGAAACATCAATTTTGTCTTTCTAAGAGCTCAAGGATATTAATGGATTGATACATCAGTTTTTTTGTTTGTCATTATAATCATTCTAAGAGCTCAAGGATACCCTCCAATAATCACTAAAATATTGACGAGGAACAATGAATGGGTAGAAGCTATTCACAATACCCAGTTATATCTGCACATTCACTAGCATGTCTAATGCCTTCTCTTGGTTTTGTCTGAGGAGTTTCTGTCAAGTGGCATTGTACTAACAATCTCCGACAAGTAGCATGGCTTATAGGTCTTTTGCATATGCCCCATAGACTGTCCGAGGAAGGACTCGGCCTGGCTTCCCTGTTACGCTCATTGCGTAACCTTCTGAAACTGGCTCCACAACTTCCACTGTGACTACTAGATCTAGGCGAATTAGGAATGGAACATAAAATTGCTTGTTGGTTAGAATTTGCAGTTTGATCAGCAATAGCAGGATATCTTAGTACTCTGCTTGAGGTTAGCGCCATTTGAAGGATCAGAAATTGAATCTGACTATGCTGCGTGACATTTCACTGATGAAAGCTCACTGTTGGAACAAATCAAAGAACGGGAGTTATTAATGGTACATCAATAAAGATTTTAAAAAACCAGCTAACAAGAAACACAAATGAAATGCAAACTAAGTTTAGGGTCCAATTCAACCAAAGAACCAAGAACACAACAAGAGAACAGTCTTTTATCAAGAATTAACAACAGCCAATTCACAAATTCGACACGCAAAGGCATTAGCATAGTAACGGCTCATTTAAGTTTTTGTGCAGATTGTGCTGCATGGAATAAACACATACAGGTACAATTGAGGTAAAGATTTATGAAAGAGAGCTACACAACAGCCCAATTGTATGCTCCACATTTCTGAAGTATTCATGTTAGTAGGTAAGTAGGTTCCTTCATTCTTTTTGCATTTTTACTTGTGGCTCATCCCCTGTTTAATTCATTTATGTTCATATAACCATAAGATTGTATAAATTCTGATTGCAAACTCTTTAAATTATAGGATTATACATCCTAATTTATTTCGGTGTACCAAGTTGCAATTTCTATTATACACCCGACTACAACTAGCACCTTCCAAATGGGGAGGAAACTATCTAACTATACGCCCATGTGTACGATGGACACCTATGTGCCGAATGTTCAAGAATACCAACATAATTCTGAAATTTGTATCATCACCAAATCACCAATAAGACTTTAATTACAAAAACATCAGCTTAAGTTATCAATAGTTCAACTCCATTATTGCAAATTCTACCATTTTTTTCAAACCCACATATCTAAACAAAATATAACATCATCCCACCATAAAATTGTAACACACTTACAATTTAAAAAATACCCTTTAAATTATAACCAGTTTGTCAACATAACATGAAATTGCAGCAAAAAAAAATCAACTTTTCCGAGCTACTCATATATTGAAGTGAGAACTGATCAAAATTTAGAATTCCAAATACAAGTAAAATCAGTTGAACAGTAATAGTATATGAAACAAGGAGATGAAAAGAGAGAATATTCAACTGACCTCAGAGGGATCAAGACAGGAGAGCAAGAAGAGAGTGAAAAAGGTGTAATTGAGTCGTAGAAGATATTGTAGGGATGATGAGTAGTGAGTAGTGGGTGAGAGTGAGATGAGAATAAATTCCAACCACTAGGACCAAACTAACCCACTTTGATTTTGTTGAATTGGATGTGCCTGCGTCGATATTTGCTCTTCTGCACGACAAATGTTCAGCCATGCTCACCCCACGTCCTACTGTTGTAAAAGTCGTACCGAGGTAATCGTATAAATTAGGCTATGTTCACTCCACCTTATCTGACTTATATTTCTAGATTTGATTTTCATATTTATCTAAACATTGACCTTTGTTTGTATGCTATTTTGAATGTGTTAGATTGTCAAATAAGATGCCACTAAATTCATACTATTATGGACTTTCTAAATGGGAATTTTGGTTTTCTTTTAATGTTTTATTGGTTTCCCGCCTAATTCTAATGCAACGAACATAAGAAAACGAAACAATTTTGATTAATTGAAATTTCATCAAATTTCATCTCAAATATTATACTTTGTATTTTGTTAGGGAAAAAAATTGACCAAATATCTTTTAAAAACGGGGTAATTATTGCTACCCATTGGGTGTAAATTAAAACAAAATTTTAAATTATTTATTTGGCTAATTAAAAAGAAAATGACACTCATTTATCATTGAATTTTTTTAATACTCATCTAATCTAAGATGTAGTTTTATTGTTTTAATGTACTCATGGTCTAATCGACTATTTCTTTGTATTAAAGTATATCATAGTTGTATTTTGTCCATGTTATTTTTTTTTTAAAATAAACTTTTTTTAAAAAAAAATTAATATAGTAAAATTACCATGCATGGAACGGCCCTAACTTAGATCGTACTATTATGGACTTTCCAAATATGAAAAGTTTATATATTTTAATTACGAAATTAATGATATTTCACAATAAACAATTTCAATTTAAATTAAGTTGACATGAACGTAGCCTTAACCCATTCTTCACCATTAATCAAATCTAAAAATTTATTGTCTTCTTTTTAACCCATTTGCTATCAATCAATCAATCAATAACATAATATTAAAACAGACACCAGGAATGACACGTGTCACTTTCTGGTTCTGTCATTTTCCCTCCAAAAGCTATTTTCTATATATATTTTTTTTAAATATCTCATTCCTTATATAAAATATTTCTCTATAATATTATTTAAAATATATATATCAAGTCTATAATATGAATATATTTGGATTAAAATATTTCACATATGTAAATATTCTATTATGAAATATTCTATAGCAATGAATATATTTGATTCTCTATTATAATAAATTGAATATTTGAATTGATAATATCACAATAATAGAAATCCTTTATAATACTTACTATAATAATAGCACTGTATAACTATATGCACAATTTGGTGAATCATTACACTTACTATAATAGTAGCACATATAACTATGCATGGTTTGGTGAATCATTACACTTACTATATAACTAATGATTTGATCTTACACAGTACTATTCTTTAAAAGTAAATCTTATATAGTTAGATGAACACACAAAATGTGAAGTTTTTGATCGTATACGCACAAAATGATTAGATCATACGACATAATTTTCTGTTGATTTGATCTTCATACTACTTAACTTAATTAAACTAAACTTTTTTTTTTTTGTTAAGTTTCAATAATATTTTATATAAATAAATCTATGAATAAATGTGTTTTGGAGCCACAAACATCTTTTTATCATGGAAATTAACAAATCATGGTTCGATTAACGATATTAGTCCTACCAACGAGCATGTAGTTATACAGGCTAGAGTAATTAGGTTATGGATGTACCTTCGAAAGCTTTTCCTTCTGAAAATGCTTCTTTGAAAATGGTGCTAGTAGACGCAAAGGTGATTTTTATATATAATTCTATTTTATTCTACCTTGAAAATAACCACCATAAGATATTGTTGTATGAATCTAATGGTATTTTTCATACATTTGTTTAACAGGGTGGCAAAATACAGGCATGTATAAAAAAAAAAATCTTTGTTATTCAAGTTCCAACAACTACTTAATAAGGGGGAATTGTACACTATATCCAATTATAGTGTTGGAAAAAATAATGGGTAGTTCAAACCTACTAATCATGCATACAAAATAAATTTGCGACATTTTGCTGTGATTACAATTGCTACCGAAATGAGCATTCCTAACTTTGGTTTCAATCTGGTGTCTTTTGATAAAATTGCTTCAAACAATCTAGACACGGATTGTTTAGTGGGTATAATACATTTTCATGCACTTAATATATTCTTTGCTTTGAGGTAATATCAATTTTTTTAATGAACGCAAAACATCATTATTTATGTTAATTGATTTTTTTTTTTTATTGCAACAAATGTTATTGGATATCTTACTGATATATTGGGAACTTTCAATTCAACAAGAGATAGCAAACCAGTCAAGCGGCTCACTTTTCAGTTGGAAGATTTGCAGTAATTACTATGAATTATTTGAACTTTAATAAAACATTGCTATCGTATAAATATATATTTTTTAAGAAATGTTATTGATAATTTTAAAAAATATTTCAGGAAAAATGTTTTGAGTTGCACTTTATTGGATAGGTATGCAGATCAAATGCAAGATTATTTGAACGAGCATTCGAGTTGTCAAGTTATATTGATAGTGCAAGATTAAATGCTTATTTTTATACTCCTTTGCAAGAATAAATGCTTATATTCATACTCCTTTGCAAGAATAAATGCTTATTTTCAACCTTATTACAGCTGCTATTATTGCATTGTCGGAGACATTTGGTTGTCGATGTTTTCATCTTTTTGCATTTTCATAACTACTAGTTTTTTTTTTTTTTTTTTTTTTTTTACAGGACAATTTCATAACTACTTGGCTATATCATATGAAGTACTTTTGGAGCCTAAAGTTAATTACAAGTTAAAAAAAAAAAAAAAAATCCTTTTTCTATTTTAAATTCTACTTGAAATAAGAGTCTTAATTATTATCATGCACAATTATTTTGTTTTTTTTAACAAATATGATACGAGGAAATACAAGTTTATCTCCGTGATAAACAAAATTTGTTTATCACGAGGACAAAAGTGCAATTTTTGCGGTGAAAATGAGTAAAATCGCTACTTGAGGTAGCGGTTTTACTTCGTGATAAACGAAATTTGTTTATCGCGGAGATTAAATGGGGTCAGCCTCAATATGATAACATGCCTATGTTGCTAAACTAGCAATTAAATTTATTCTTAAACTAACGATTAAATTTGTTCATTTGCTTCAATTCAGAGATTGACGACTGATGTCGAATGTGAATTGGATAATAGATTTTTTAACGAGATATCTGCTGGAGTTAATGATGAAATTGGACTAGACATTGTTGACATAATCACAAGTTTTGGACTCTATGTGTATCTTGCTTAAATACTGTATGAAATAAATTAGATAAATTGAAACATTTTTAAAGCGATTGGTGATCAACTACCTTTAGTTCACCATTCTACTTTATTTATATTTTTACTGTATTTAATCACTATATGTTTACGTTTTGTATTATTCATAATTAATTAGGTCTCCGATATTCATTGCATATCTTTGATATATATATATTTTTTTAATTTATTTTGTTTGTTATATAGCTATATAATTAATGTATAATTTGTTTTGGACTTACCGTGCATGGCACGGGTCCTAAACTAGTTGTTAAAAAAAAAATTCCCCATTTTTGTTCCGCTCATTGTGAAAATTGGATTGATACATTCATACATCTATTAAAGATCTTTAGCAACCAACTATAGGTAGGAAGCTCAGTTACTTTACAATTGTAGGTTAAAATTACTTCAGATTGATTAAAATGTTGCCCTACAGCTGAGCAACATACAGTCAAACTAATGTCAATCGAGTGTACACAACAGTAATTTCATCTAATTTTTATGGGAAGAAGAAGAAAGCTACACCACATACTATAGTGGATTGGGAAAGGGCAGGAACTGAGAAGTTGGAAGAAATAAGTTAACAAGCATTCACATTGCCAAATGCTGCACGAGTCAAAAATTGAATGAAGACAACATTCACAAGGATCGTCGTGTTCTCACTATTAATATACACTTATACAGTCTACAATCGTTAACAATTATACAATCATTCAAGGCTATGCAATGTACATGAAACAATTTACAAACTCATGGCAAAAACAATATATGATAGTGCATTGGTCAAATATTAAGAATTTTGGGAGCCTGGTGACTTTGAAGCACCTTCAATTCTGTGTAAATTCATTCCTCCAGCTTCTGACTTTTTAAAGAGCTTCGATACTAATTCGTCCCAAGTAGCTCTCTCACCAATCGATCTTGGTAGGGGTCTTGAGGACTCCTCTGTTGGCTTATCTTCCGATGAACGTACAGCTCCCTCCTCGAGGGACACCGGCTTCTCAAGTTCTTTCTCCAAAGATACAGCGTGAGGCACCTTCAGACTTACAGCTCTTTCCAAAGCATCCTTGTGCTCTTTTTCAATTGTCTGCAACCTCTCAAATCTCTGCACTCTTGGCGGACTTGTTACAGTCTCTGTGCTGCTGTCTTTCATCCTCTGTAAAAAGAAGACAGTAAATTTTTAGATTTGATTTTTCTTTCACGTATGTTAGATTACAGTCCTCTCCATTTTATTTTAAGAAAGGTGAGCATTTCCTATTGTTGGAAAACTGAAACAACTGTAGGTGCCCACATAATAAGGAGCATGCACTACTCTCACCTCTAAACAAGAACAGATAATTTAATTTAATACTATCTACAGCAACCGAATAAAAATAATACCAATACTTTTTACAATGTGATGTTAAATTACTAAAATACAATGTTAACGCAAAGCCAATGCGTTATAAGACTTACAACCTAAGCTAGTCCAGTATCATTTCATCAATCCATTAAACTGCGAATCTAAAATGGTGAACTAATAGGTGAATGGTACAGTTTTTACTGGCAAATTAGGTAATACTGCTACCTATAGCTCCGGGAAGCATTTCCAGATCTTCAAAAACTACACCATTAGGAATCTACCTCTACACTTGGCAATTTAAAAATTTGGTTAGGAAATCCGAAATCGTGTTTTGTCATCCACCCAAGCACCATTAACCGCATGTTACTCAGGAGCCAGGACTAGTCCAAAAAAGCTTCCCTACGTAAGTCTCAGAGGAAAATAACATATTACGGAGTATCACAACTCACGCTTGTTCATTGCCCCGGAGCACTGGGAAATTCCCCACATATACAGGGTTCACAATGATACCATTCCTTTTTGGGAGATCTTCCAAAAGATTTAGCGGTTAACACATGTCAGCAAGTTAGCATCAAGAGATCAGAAAGTACATACCAAACTTTTCAAGCATATACCATAAGATAACCAAGAAAAAAGGCATCTGATGCTTTACCTACCCCCCTCAGACACATACAAGTATTTCAACCCAAGACGTGAACTTTCATCAAATGACAATTCTTACTTGATTGTTGATTCCCCGATTCACCATCTTTTCCGCCTTTTTTATTAAGCACCAAACTTTGGTAAAAGTGAAATTTTGCTTTCGCATTAAAGATGTGAACATTGAAGAAAATTCTTAGACTTCATACAGTCACATTATAGGATCCCTAGTAAATTAAAGATCTCAATTCAGATGTGAATTAACTTACTAGTAAAGCTTTCTCTGCTTCTCTTTCGATCCACACAATCCCATGATCAGATGTAGCATTACAGGACAGCACAATATGCTCAAATCTTCCATCAACAGGAATAGCAGTTCTGACTTCGGGAGGAAACCTTCCACATCTGAAAATTTCGATATTTAAAACCCAAGCTTATGTAAACAACATTTAGCAAGTCTATTTCTACAATTATGCTACTGAAAGGATGCAGAATTCAGTAAATTGCATGAAAGCATAAAATGATTGAGCAGGGATTCAAACATATTTGTGGGTTAGGGACTTTGGGTTATAATCTTATAACAGAATCCTGTACAGTACAAAACATATATCTGCAAAGAACCAATTATCATTTATGTATATGACTTTACTGCGAATAACCAGATAGTAAGGAAATCAAAATTAAGCAAAAATGGTCAAACTCTCACTCCCCCCATGCAAGAGGTACTCCAACTCCATACTGATTATCACCTCTTTGGATATAAAAAAAGATAAAAGGAAACACAGGAAGCATGTCAACCTTAAGGAACATAACAATCAACAAAGATGTTCAAACTCGAGAAGAAAACATATAGATGAAAGAGTAAAAGCTGACTTACTAACACATGACAATCTCCCCTCAGATTTTCCAGCCAAAATCATTTTTAAAATATCACCTTTGGGCGAAATAAGTTCTTCTACAAAATATTAGTTGCTCTGTAGCATAAAAATACCTACTTTTAAAAAAGCTTAACAAAATACCTAAAATGAGTAGATCTCGATATATTTATGTTTCTAATATTGAATTTATAATACGTAAAGTTTTGTATATGTAAATTTACCAAATAAATACAAAGGCATTTTCTTATAAATACTAGTCTGAGCTTCAGGTAAAAGACTAGTTTTGCAATAATACAGTGCCTGGAGAATTCGTTAAGTTGGTTTTGCTAGGATCTGTGGATTAACATGTGATGCCTTTTTCAATTGCATTAAAAAAAGGTCTTAGTTCTTGCACTTAAGATATTCTGAGCTTTTTTCTTTATTTTTTTGAGGGAGGGGAGCTAGGAGGGTGGGATTTTTCTGTAAGAAATAAACAAATAAAAATAATTTACTTTTAGTTTCTGTCAATCCCACACATACTATTGGGGATTCACAAAAAAAATAAATAGCAACAATCACAAGTTATTTGCATGGTTTTGTGGCAAACTATCAGAGCTTTGTTGTTTATATCACAAAAGCATATGCAATTTCCCAAGCACTGGAAGCTGGGAAGAGGGACTTCTAAGCTTGTAAAAAGTGCTTGTTGCAGTGGCAATTCCTTATCATAGGCCTTCTCCACTTTTGATTATGAGGGTAAGAAGTGAGAATAACATGCCAAAAGGTGGTGCATTGCTTCCTCTCTAGCTATCTTGAATGATGTGCCACTTCTCTATGTAGCATCTATTACAAAACTGAAAAAAATATTCTAAAACTATGAAAAGAAACTTCATAATGGGAAGATTATTTTGTAATATTGACACCAAAAAAATACACCCTGGAAGGAGTAATAGAGACACTTAATGTTTGTATGACTGGCATCTCAGCTCCTAAGTGGCAAACACCAAGATTTACAACCATGAAAGAGATTAAGAGATCCTCCAAATGACATGTCTATGCAATGAAAAAGCTGGATTGATTTCAAAAGTATTAAAAAAACAAAAAGGCATTGCCACTGCTCCAAGCACTTTTTACAAGCTTAAAGATGGATATGAAGGTGGTTTACGAGGAAAATCTAGCTAATATAGTTCCATACTGCCTGTAATAGTGTAATATGAGATTCTTAAAACATTAGGAATTTAGGATTCAATCCTAACATGAGGAAATAACCAGAACAACACAACTCTGCTCTTACCTGCAAAATTTCCTTTCTACAATATGGTACATTCGTCCAGGAGCATATAGTCTTCTTGGATCTCTAAGCTTCCTTTCTTCGGGGATGAAGGTGTCCCTCAAGCAAATCAAAAACATCAAACAGGGCAAGCTGTTGAAAGCATTTAAGGCCTGGTTTGAGAGATTGATATAAATAACAAACTCACTGCTTTACAGATCACTGATTCTGTAGTAAATTCAAGATGGAGTTCCTTTTTTTCCCATGCTCAATTAAAAAAATATAGGGAATAAGACTAACCAGAAAATTGACTTGAAAATATCTTCTAATGGAGTGGCTGTTCTGGGTAGAAAGTCATCCTGAATAAGAGCATAAAGTTGGTGATGTTGTCAGGTCGCTAGTGAAATTTAACATTTTCCCATGTAATAGCTTAGAAGTACTTTGTAAATATTTATAAATTCATTTAAATATAAAGCAACTAGATAAGCACAAAACAAGGGAAATTAATAGCTTCAGTTTAGCATCTGATGAGGGCATGCTTATTGAATGGGCGAGAGCTACCAACTGAAGCTATTAATTTCCCTTGAAGACCATAAGACACCTCCAAGACTGACTGGTCCACAATTGAAAACCTAACATTCTAATGGATGACTATCGGGTTGATCTCTAAGCTGACAAGCTGGCAATAAAATTATCCTACATCAATAGAGAGGACAAATTCACTAACTAAGAGAGGTTACAAAGAACAGATTGAGGAATGATCACAAGTCGGGCTTTTAAAGGAGTTAGTATAGCAAGCATGTAAGATGCAACACAATATCTGTAGAAATAACCAAAAGCCAACTGCACCTAAGTCCTCCAAGCCACGGGGAAGAGTAGAAGGGCTTCCACTTGACCCAGGTTGCTTGAATGTGGTTGAGTTACTAGACCAACTAATATGAAGAACAATAATAACACTAGTCCTAAAGGTTTCGTTATCAAATCATTTAGAATGACCCTTCCCATCAATGTCAACGGTTAGTTACTCATACCATACCATTAGTCCATTACTAATTAGATCTATAATCACCCCTTATGTTACTCACACTCGGCTGTTTGATGAAAGGTTTCCATGTAATTAGTACAAAATGGATTATCAATTCATACTCATGTCTTGAGTATTGGCTATCCTACACCACACTTGAGGTTAATGAAGGGTCCGAGTAGCAACAATTGAGCTATACAGATTAGCCAAATTTACCATTATCAGACATAATGCACAATTTCTGAAGAATGATCCCTATCCTAATTACCATAATCTCTGATTTATGTGTTTTTGACAAGTACTTGCTAACAGACACTGATGTATGACAGAATCCCTTCCCTAATTAAACTCAGTCAAAAAATTCAAAACCCATAAGTATCAATGATCCAACACGGGTATCAAACGAAAAGTCAGAAACAATTATTACCAATAAATTCAACATCTTCTAAGTAACAGCAAAAAGAATTCAAAGTAATGAAATTACAAGATCTTATCATAGTACTGACCTGAAGTATGACAGAGTGAATAACATCAGCATACTTAACAGCAAGATTAAGCGACATACACCTCGCAGGAGCAATCGAATAACAAGTAACAAGATTCCGCGGAATCCCCCCAAGTTTATGACCATGATTCACAACAACAACAGCCAACAAAGCAGCAACACCAGACCCTAAAGAATGCCCAACAAAAACCATCTTATAACACCTTCCATTATCCACCCACAGTTTCTTCAGCGTCTCTGACTCCCTATTGAGCAACCAAATCGCCGATTTCAACAACCCATGATGAACATACCCACCATCAAACATCTGCATTCCAAGCCGATTATCAAGCAGTAGCTTATAATCCGATTCTTTAATCAGATTAAGCCCGCGAATAGCGAGCAGGATCTCACGGTGCTGGTGGTCAGCATAGATAATGTAAGGCGGAGCACGACCTTCAGTTTGCTCATACGTTACTCGCTTTATAAGCCAATCTGGGTTGAGTCGATACCCACCAGGTGGGGCGAATTGGGGGTTACGGATATCTGGTTCGTAAACGGCGAGGATGACACGGCAAAGGCGGGGAACTGGCTCGAATTCATCTGGGGTTGCAGATGGCCATGTAGCGCTGTCATTGGAGCCGACGTATGTGCAGCGCTTCCATAGCCATCTGGAAAAGCCAATGATTACGACGCATTCGACGCCGCAGCAGCAGACTGACATGGTTGTGGTGTGGTGGAGGAGAGAGAAAGAGGGGTGTGACTGCGACTGAGTAGAAGGTGTGAGGCAGGCTGTCGATTGGTTGGCTATGAAAATGAATAGAATCAGGAAGTGAAGTTTGGAGTAGGTGCTAAAAAAGGTAAATGTCTAAATGAAATGAAAAAGAGAAACGTGACAATGTTCGAAGGTTCTTGTCTTGGCATCGAAGGTGTAAGCTGCCAGTGCTACAGTGCCAGCTCAAGTTGCTTCATTACTTGCCGGAGGTCCTATAAGCAATAATATAGTAATAAATTTTAAGTTGTAGTGGTAGCATAAAGTACCATTAAATGGTACATCAAAATATTATATTTCTGTGAGAAATAATAGTACTACTAAGACATAATGGTACAATATACATGCATATAGTACAAAAAATGTACCACTAGAATCATAAAAAGTACCATTTTGGATGTCAAACCTAATCGCTTTTCCACTTTTGCCCTCCTATATGCAAAAAATGCATATAGGGACTATGCGACTAGTGGGACTCTTACTTGCCCATGTCTTTTTTGTTTTGTTTTTTTTTTTTTTTTTTGGTTTTCCGAGTGAGTCAAAGTTAATTATCGTGATAAACAAAATTCATTTATTCAGTTTCATTTATGTAAATAAATCAACAAAATATCTCAATCAGCATGGTATTTTCATAAATAAATCGTTTGTGTTTTTGAAAAGCTAGTCTCATCAATCGTTTGTGAACTTAGGGTCCTGAAAACACAAAGAAACACACCAAAACATGGTCTGATATTCCATTCATCTTTTATTGGCCGTGCATCTTCTCGTAATAAGCGGAGGATGGTTCGATACCTTGTAAACAAGTGCTTCATTGCCTCTAGTATAGACTGTTTCTCAGGTCTGTTCTGGTTGTAGCTTATTCTCTCTACTTGCAGTTAATATTTCTTTTGTCGATCCAGTTTTTGGTGAAAAGCTATGTGAACAAGTAGAGGAGCGACTTGACCTCTATGACGAGGGAGCTGCACCACGGAAAAATATCGATGTGATGAAAGATGAAATTGAAGTGCATGATTCTTATGTGAAAAAGACTAATACGAAGTTGGAGAAGTTCTTCAACTTGCGGAGTCGCTTCAGTTCGTATCAGAGTGTCAGATAAAAACAGTGGTTCCAGGACCATTTTATTGAAATGATGAGCATATTTTCTGATACTGAATGGCGAGCATGTCATCAAACCCGTGATACTGAAGGTTGGTTGTCCTATTCAGATCACATTTGCTGATGGGCACATGTCTTATAGTTTCAAGCCGGTTTCAACGCTTGCTCAGTGTGAAAATGATTTTGGCCTGCTTTTTGGTATTGATAAGGGTTGCTCAACATGAATCTAAGGACAATATGCACTTTTTTTGAGTTAGAAGAAGCCTTTGAAGAGGTTTATTGTTGCTCCTACCCATGTGGGGTGGATTATCCTATTGGAGTGGGAGGGAGGGTTTCACAATGTTGTGTTGACAATGGTATTGCATATGATTTAGCAGTGGCCAGTGACTCCTCTGGGACAGCAGTACTAAAAAGGAGGGGAGAAATTCTAGTAGTGCATGTTGAAAGTGAAAAAGCTCATATGTTAAGTTTGAAAGACAAAATGAACATAGGGACTACAGGGGAATAGTTAAGTACGACATTCCCTCCTCTCGGATATTCGAGGAGTTAGCATGGACAGATCTAAATTCAAAGCAACGGGGTCAATTGACCCCACTTGTCTTTGACTAATAATTATTTTTAAAAATATTTATAAAATGAAAAAATAATGATTTATTTAGCATTGAATTATTTAATATAAGAATAATAATATGCAAATTTTAAGTAATGTATCAATACGCATAATTTTTTGAGCTAATTATGTGCAATATAATATTTATGTAGTTACACATAATTTGTTATTTTATAAATAATTTCACATAATTTGTTAATGCATAAATTTTAATATTATTTGTTTTAATTAATTTTTTATATCTTAATAACTAATTTTATTTCAACAATAATACTGATGGATTACACAAGCTTAAGTGTTGGGTTTCGTGATGTCCAACACCAGCGGAAGGAAACCCGCCCAAAATCCGCACACAAATTAAAATAACTAAGCGTGTATTAAAACCTTAATCACACGATTAACAAGAAGAGAGAGAAAGAATCATTACCCGTGTAGCGTGCTTCGCTCTAACTTAGAGCTCAGACTTGAAAGCATATAGTCCCGCAAACGCGCGAACCTCTAATGACTAACACCCCTCGCTACCGAACCGAGCCAGCCCCTACCACAAAGCTTAGTCAGGGCTAGACCAAAAATTACTTAGAGTATTAGAACAAAGGTTTTCTCTCTTTGGAGATCCCTTCAAATTCACCAACTCAAGTGTCTTTCCCAAATGCCAAGTGATTGGTATTTATAGGGCATAGAGCCTCTTGAAATCCCATCATCTTTTAATGTGGGATAGTTGGTAGAAAATGCAAAATGGAATTTAATTTAATTCTAAATTAAATTAAATAGAAAAATGAATGACCAAACGACAAGTGGCATGAGGAGAGTAAGGGGCTAGGTGAGAATCACAAGGGGAGGACCACCTTCCCCTTGCTCCCAAAGCAAACCTACAAAATCACTCCAAACACACGCCCACTCGCAACATGCCAGCTGGCGTGGCCTGCCTTGGGCGCCAAGGCTGCCTCGTTAGTGGCCTGGCCCCTAGGCTGGGCCTGCTAGCTGGTCGTGTGTGTGTGCACCCTAGCAAGCACGCCACGCATGCATGCGGGCTGCTGCTGGGCGTGTTGGACGCACCTACCGCAAGCTCAGCTTGCGAGCTGCTGCTGTTGTGTTGTTTCCTCGCGCAAGGCCCACCTAGCAATTGCTGCTGGCCTTGCTTGCGATGGTGCGGGGCTGGTGCTAGCATGCGCGCCAGCGATGCTGGCCTTGCTGCGCCAGCTAGCTAGCGATGTTAGCAAGGGGTAGCTAGCTCGGCATGCCGCAGCCTTGTTAGCCATATTTGTAACACCCCCAAATCTCCCTCTACGGAAATACTAGTATAATACGTATAATTATACCGTGGAGATAGGCTTAGGCGTATTATCGTCGCGTGATTACGTAAGGCTACTCAACTACTAACCAAAACCAATACTTTGCAGCGGAAATTCAAACTCTTTCTTTATTAACAGTAACTATAAATAGAAACCATCGTCATGAGTACTCATAATTAAACCAAGACCAACAATCCTAATCTAGGTGAAGAACATTCCTGGGACTCCCATATGCTCAATTCTTGACTCTACCTGAAATCAGTCAACACTGCTCACCATTACAGTAAACAGGGCGAACTAAAACAAATAAGAAATACGGATTAGCAAAATATGCTAAGTATGATAAGTGTAAGATAAGTAAACTCAATTTATTTGCAAACATGCTTTTAAAACCAATTCCAATAATTAATCCAATGAGCTCTAAAACTCATGATTTCAAATCAATTCTCAATAATTCGATGAAACGATTTATAAAACCAATTCCTCTTTTGAAAACCAATTCCTCTTTTAAAAACCAATTCTCAAATATCCTCAAAATAATTCCAATTACTCAATAATAATGATTAATAAAATCAATTATTTTCGAAAACTCAACCTCCTCTCTAAGTGTGCACACCCCCCAAGCTAGTCTCCTACTATTTCAAGGCTATTCTTGGAGAAAGACTAGGTCATACAAAGTCCAAAGTCTTCAATGATTCCGCATAGTGGGATTAATATAATAATCATGCTTGTAAAGCTTTTATAAATAATTCAATAATTCTCATGAAACTCCTCTTTGAATAAAATCAACCTTTATAATAGAATAACTCAAAAACTCATTCTGTATTTAATTCAATAAGGTTTTAAATCAAACCCTTTTAAAAACTTTTTAAAACAATCCAACATACTTTTTAAAACCAAGTTCCTTTAAACATAATAAATAATTTCAAACCATTCAAAACATGATATTAAAATCAATCCTTCAAAAATACATTTATTAAAATAAATATTAAAATCAATTCCTCCAACCATACTTTATTTCATAAATCATAATTCAAATCAATTTAATTCAATCATCAATAAAATATATAAAACATGCTATTCAAACCGATCACTTCGAAGGTATCTAGCCACCTAAACGTACCTTGATTCCGAATCTCAATCAACACTTCGCCTTTTAATTTAGGCATTCCAATCACTTGACCTCACTGAAAATTAGCTTTCTAATTAATTCTGAACCCTCTATCGGAATAATACACTTATTCGAAGGACACCATTCCTTTTAATCACCCACTTGTCCTTCCGGACAAGTGTGCTAATTGTGTATAGCCTATTTCCTATGTCACTTAATGTCTCTTCATGAACTATAAGGTAAGATTCTTTGTCATCCTTATTACGTCCAGAAGTGTTTCTCAATTTTCGAGTTCGATTGTCAATAAGCAGATGATTTCTAAAATCAATCTGAGCATGACCATGCATTTTCACAGTGTTGCTCTTCGAGAGGCCTTGTAAACAACAAAGATATGTTCCCTACTGTTAATAAGGGGACATTCCCAGTCTTGCATTATTAGCTTCCCTTACTAAGAGGCCCTAGCCGCCCAACTGTTGCCTTTATAATCTCCTTGTATGGCAGACGTTTGACAATATCAAAGCAGACTAGTACTCAAACAAGAGAACTAACAATACGCATGGTCGAGGAAAGAGGTTCCGATAGCTATAATGAGTAATATACTTATGACGATTGTTAAATCTCTTAAAGTATTCTCATAGGTCGATCCGGCATAGTTCCAAACTGATACCTGTGCAAATGATTTATGCCAATCATGTCCTTGTAGCACAAGAAACGGTGCTATAAGTCGTCCAACTTTTAAATGACCTTGATTACGGGATAATTTTCGATTAAAATATTCAATGTTCACTTAATAGGTGTTTCTTTATCCAAGACATTGTCTTGATACCCTATTTTGAATGTTCAAATCGAATGGACTCATTATTTAATTCTAAATCACAATTAAATAGAAATGGAATAATAATACAGAAAAATTAAATTACTCCATAAATGAATGGTTTAACAAGGTGTTTTACATTCAGATCTCCACAACTTAATTAAAACACACAAATAGGGAAATCAAAGTTGATAAGGGGATTTTTCCCCGCCACGTGGACCAATGGAGCCATGCCACGTGTCATCCACGTGGACCAACTAGAGCCCGCCA